TTCCCCCATGAGTGTCGCTAGGTCCTAGCTCCCTTCCCTGCACTGGCCCAAAAGCTATATAGGTGACACGAGGGCAGCCTGAAGGCTCTGCCAACCCCACATGGAATCACACATCAGAGGGATTGTCAGAGTTAAGGATTGTATGGAGCCTAACACCCTAATGTGTAGATGGGGAGACTGAGGGATAGAGGGGTATTGGGAGGTATGATGAGAGACAGCGGCCTGTCAAGTCCGACCCTGGCTTTCCTGACCCCAGATCTTCCTCATGTACCAAACATAAGGATTATTAAAAAACAAAAAGTTTCAGACTCTTCAACAGAGAATTGATAAATACATTTCCCGACAAAGGAATAAAATCAGATGTTAAGCAAATGAAACAAATCTTTGCTAACAGGGAAAGATGATGATGAAAGCAAAGCAGGTTCCAGAACAGCAGGTCAAATACAACCTGTCAATGCATGTGTGCATGGGCATGAGCGTGTGCATGACACACACATATAGGTCTACAAACAAAAAGACTGTGGGAGGATATAACCAAACTCTGGACATTAGAATTTCTGGGAGAAATTTAGTTACTGGGAATTTTCACATTCTATGTGTTTTTCTGTGTTGTTTCCACTTCACATTGTACATGCATTATTTTTACAACCAAGGGGCAGAGGAAACAGATATTACAGTTCTACTGAAGCACAGGTGCATGAGCCAGAGTAGCCCTGTGCTGGGGAGATCAGAACTCACCTGGATTTGGAAAGCAAAAAAATCCCTTGTAGTCTCCTCTACAGGCCTGCTACCAACAGGAATTGCAGTGCTCAACTTTAGACACCAGGAGGCAGCAGGAGACCAGCTGATTCCAGTAAGAGGCCTGCTAGGGGCTTGTAAACTGGCAAGGATGGGGGGCTGGGGGTGGCAGGGACTAGCAATTTGAAGTGGCGTCTCCACATGGTGCTGCTGGACTGGGATCGGGTCTACAGGAACAGGAGGGCTATTTTGGTTTTGGGAAATGTTCCTTGTTTCAGCACAAGAGGGAAACTGAAGCAAAACCCCCATTAGAACTGACTAATCGGGGTGAGGGTACTTGAGGAGGGGAGGAGAGGAGAATGACCTACAGGTTCAGGGCCAGACAGATCTCAGCTTCTTCTCTAGGGGCAAAATGTGGGATCTTCATCCTGACCGAGGGGCAGGATGAAGATTTCAGCACTCGTAGTGGTCAGGATGAAGATTTCAGTACTCATAGTTCAAGGTGATGACAAGTAGGAAGCTGAGATGGGGGGGTGGGAGATGGGGGGAGGGACATGGGGGGCATTTCAGAGGCAGCACATGCCCACGGGATGGTCACCACCTCTGGTAGTGACAGTGCAGAAGCTGACAATCCTTGAACACTTACCAGGTACCACTTTGCCTCCTTCCCTAACATAGCATCGAGTTATGGCAGACTCTCAGGTAGATGGGCAGGTGTGATTCCCACTTTACAAGGAGGGAACTGAGGCTCAGCGAGGGGAGGCTGTTGCTTAGGCAGACAGCTAGCGAGGCTGTGGCTCGGTGTCCAATCCACATATCCACCCGACCATGCCCGTGCCAACATCAGGCGCTCCTCTCTGAGCGCCTCTCCTGCCCAAGAGGGGAGCACGCACCAAAGTAGGGTGTCATAGCACACCCCCAGGCGCCTGCTCCCCACTTCAGTCATCTTATTTTGCCAGCACCTCCCAACCCACATTCTAGATTATTTGGGGGAAAAAAAGTCTCATTTTGCCCATAAATACTCCACAGTCAAGTAGATGAGGACATTTTTTACACACCCCAGTGCTATCATCACACCTGAAGAAATCTGAATTCTCTGAACTGTTTGAGACACAAGGACAGGCTTTCCCTTGCAGTTTGGGCTGAGAGTTGGGGTCTGGCTGCTCTCACCCACCTGGGGGTTCCAGAGTCCCAGCTCCTGGTGAGGCACTCAAGGCCTGAGTGGAAGGGGGTGGATAGATTTACATGAACTCCACCACCCTTCTGGGTCAGAGTTCCCCAGTCCCTAAAAGTGAACCTTCGCTAAGAGGTGCAGGGAAAGGGGCTGCAAGGGGGCAGGGACTCAGGACACTGCCGGCAGTAGCACTGTGCTAGCTGGAGAGGGCGCCCCAGAGCTCCCCATGCCTGCCGGACTCCCAGGGGGCTGCAGCTGCCCTGTTTGTGTGTGTCTGTGTGTGTGCGCACAAATGTGCTTGTGCATACATGAGTGTGTGGATAAGTATGTGAGTCTATGTGAGTGTGTGTGAGTGTGTGAATGTGCATGTGTGTCTTGGGAGGGGTGAAGGCAGGTCTCTAACATCTCTGCATAAACGAGGGGCTGTTTGGAGGGGCCTTTGTGCCTGAGGACAGGCTGTTCCTGGATCTGGCTAGAGCTCCTGGAACAAGCAGATGCCTGACTTGGGAGGCAGAATCTCTCCCAAGCCTGCCACCCCTTCGTCTCAGCACCTCCTGTGCTCCCAAACACCATGGGGGGGGTGGGGGCGGGCCAGGCCAGGCAGCACTGGCCTGAGAGCAGCTGGGGCGCTGTTTGGATGCCAGAGCCTGGGTTTCCTAAGCTGAGGGGTCAGGGTGTCTGAGAGTGACCACAAACAGACTGCTTAGCCCATCGTGGGGCCCGACCCGGTTCAGGGCACCAGCCCCTCAGGAAACATCCTTAGTGGCATGAGCAGTCTCGTGGGAACCCACCCTGGAGTCTCTTGTCAGGCTCAGAAACTGTGGTGGTCAGAGTGTGCCGTGGAGGCCCCCATTTGAATGTCTCAGACATCAGAGCCCTCCCCAGGTGCCAGCTTCCATGGCTGCTGCTTTGGCATATTGTTCCCTACCCTGGCTACTGCCAAGGTGGTGAGGATATGGGTGGCATCAGAGAGTCAGGAAAGCCTTGAACCTGTGCCCAGGACCCAACACCAAAGCCCCACGGCTGCCCCCAGGCCCAGCCTCCTAGTGTGAGGTTGGGCAGCAGCCCCACAGCAGGCCAGCAGAACTGGAAGGAGGTACCAACCCAGAGCTTTTGCTGCTCCCAGGGGAGACTGAGGGAGGGGGCACCTCAGCAGCGGGCCAGTGTGCCCTGATTCCCCCCTCCCCAAGACATGGAGGCTCCACATCACACATTTTGAGGAAAGGGTGGTGCTAGGGGCCTACTGGACCAGACCAGGGGTCCCTGAGCTCCCGTGGCTCTGGCGCTGAGCTGGAAGAGATAAGGGTGGCTGAGCCTCTTCCCTCCACCTGGGCCACTGGCCTGGCTTTCCATCCCTGTGTTTGGAGCAGGCACTAAGGGCCATCCTACACAAAGGCCCTGGTGGGTGGGAGCCACTGAGCCCCCTCACTCCTTGTCCCACCTTTATAATTCTGGGCACAGCTTGTTGCTCAGATCTTAACCTCAGGCTTGTCTCTAAAGATCCCCACACGGGGAGATAAGAACACAGTGTTCAACTTCTGGTCCTGCCACCTGCCTGCTGACTGACCTTCAATGATCCCTTCCTCTTTAGGGGCCTCAGTTTTTGCCCAGACAGAAAAGGAGGGTGGGAGTAGGAGTCAGCTTTGAAGGGAAACCGGGCCATCCTCTCCGGGCCCCATGACCCCCCCTCTCTGCGGTGGACTCTGCTCTCTCTGGGCCCTTGGCAGCCTCTGGACATGGACATTAAGTCCAACCGGAAATCCTTCCTGTCCAGGGGAATTACTGGTTTCCACGGCTCTGGGAGATGTCGAAATTCAGGCTGTTTGCCTTGGGTTTGTTTTCTTTTCACAGAAAATAAAACAAACACTTGGGCACAGCACCCTGACCATGAGGTCAGATGATTGCATGGTAACCTTGGACCAGCACACAGTAGGTGTGCAGTGAGTGCTCACTGGGCGAGCAGTTGAGCCCAGGGATCCTGGGGGCAGGAATGGCTCCCCCTCACCTCTATGACCTGACCAGGACATTTTTGCCTGAGCCACCGACAGTGGGAGAGAGGCTCATATTCCCTGGCTTCCTTAGGTGCCAAGCCCTGCTCTGGGCCTGTGTTCACTGGGCTGTCTTATCATACAACGTCCCCATGGAAGTCAGGGCCTAGAAAAGGAGTTACTGCTCCATTTTCTATAGCTTGGGGAGATAGAGATGGCCTGGGAGATGGGTGCAAGACAGACTTAGATTTCAGGGCTCTATGTCCTCAGATCAATACCAAGAAGGTAGCACCCCTCCCTGGCTATCCATAGTCCCGGCCATCCACACCCCCAAGGACAGGCACTAGAAGAGGCAAAGTCTCCCTCTGTACCAATAATTAGGCTTGGCAGCTTCCAGGATTCACTGTACACACTTGAGAAGACAAGGGCGCCTGCATCTGGAGTCGGAGGTCTCTTTTGCCTGGCCCTCCCCCTTCCTCAGTCATGGTCCCCAAATCCAAGAACTCACGTTTTGTTTTCTCTGCTCTGATTCAGAAAGCACAGGCTGGGGGCACAGGCTGGCCCCCAGACACATAGTTTGAGCTGAACTATTTTAAAATATAGTAAACTAGCCTCCAATATTTTGAAATTGGAACATTTCACATAACCTGGATTTTCAGTGTTCCTCCTCCAATGCCCCCAGGCTATATATTCTCAGAGATCAATTGGCTGGAGCTGAGAATGGGGTTCCCCTTCAGTGGGGCTAGAGACCCCCTCACCAGCCTCCCCACTGACATCACCATCACCTTAGAACTACAGCGACCATTCCAAAGTCCTGTTCTCCTCAACCTTGCACACAGGACTGACTTGAGCACCTTAAAAACCTTAGAACACACCAGGTCCATTTCTCAAATGTCTCTGGGATTGGCCCAAGGCTTCAGTGCTTTTAAAGCTCCCATAAGTGGTTCAGATTAGCTGCAACAAGAGCCCAGTCCTGAGCTGAAGGTTTCACGTGCAGGTGGCTCCACCATAGCCCCCGGCCCTGTGGATGTGGCTGCCTGTCCGTGACCCCCAGCAAGAGCCCCACCCATGACAGCCCAGCCCATCTGGCCTTGCTCAGAAAAGGGCCCCTCTGTTCCCTCTCCCGGGGACTTTCCAGGAGGCCCAGACACTCCCATTGGCTCATGTGTGATGCCCAGTGTCTGAGGCTAAGACCCTAGTTTGGCAAGAAGGCCAAACACGAGCAGCGGCGGCGAGGCTGGGGCTGCCGTCTCTGAGGAAGATTCACTCCTATATATGGTCACCCGGGAGCCCCATCTCTGAGTGTGACCTAATGTGCTGACAATCTCGCCCAGCCAGGGGCCCAGTGTGGGGAGGGCCCTGGCCATGGAGGGAGTGTCCACTTGGGGGCAGAGGGGCTGGGAGGAGGCCAGTCAGTGGTGTGGAGACAGGGCGAGGACAAGATGACCAAACACAGGGGAGCCCAGTCGGGCAGCCCAAGTCCCTCCCACCACGCTGGGCCTCACGCATCTGTGAAACGTCCACCTCCCCACTGTTGCTCTGCATAAACAAGGAAACCCAGCAGCCTCTCTTGCTTTTAAAAGTCCTTTTAATACAGCATGAAAAGGCTATGTTTCTATAGGCAAGCCGTATACAGATTCTCCAGGAATAAGGCACACAACGGAATGCCATCCCGAGGGCGGCCCTTCGGAGGGGCGGGACCCTTCCCAGTGTACCCTCCACGCTGGGCCCTCGGGTTCTGTTTTGTCTTTTTAGCTGGACACACACGTATTAACAGACAGACACGGAGAGAGTCAACACACGAGAGGAGGTCAAACGGTGAGGTTGGCAGAGAGCGATGAGCTTGCAGCACCAGCCCAGGGAGAGGAGTGGCCTGGCCACCTGCCTGAAGGCCCCAAAGCCTCCCAAACTTCAGGGTTAGTTGCTGCACTGGGCTACAATGTAGTGATGTTGGGTTAGATATTGGTTTAGAGTAGATTCAAGTCTATTAGATGCTGGAGGGCAGGTGTAAGGGCTCCAGTTGACAAGTCCAAGTTCAAAGAGCCCGGAGTCCTGAGGCATGGGCATGGCTCAGATGGCAAAGCTCCAAAGAAGCTGTGGAGAAGTCTGCCTTCTGCTTCCTTTCCTCCTTGGGCTCTGCTGATCGGGGGCCCTTCACCAGACTGAGGCCATCTTTGGAGAGGGCAGGCCATGGAGAGGCTACTAATCACATGGCCCCTCTTCCCCCAGCCCACTCCCTACCCCCTTACAAAATTAATAACCATAATAAAAAGATAATAATAAGGTGCAAGAGAATGGATTACAATGCTGTGTTTGTTATCCTCAGCCAAAGAGGCCCAAGGGCCCCCCATTCCCTTTTTTGCTACTTATCTATTAATAGCTTCCCTTAAAAAAAAAAGGCAATACTTTCCAAAATACACATATGTATAAATACAGGACAGGAACATATTAATAAGTCTAAGCACTTGAATAATAGGCTGGCTACTTAATACTGATATTTTCATCCAGGAAAACAACACAGAATAACAATATGGCTTAAAGAATTGCAAAGGTTTTTTTCCTCATCAGAATTATGTACCAACTTTATATAATATTCTATGTAGACAATATTTCCTTCTTAATGTAGTTCAGTTGCATACTTTTTACAGACCAAAGCATAGTAAAAAAAAAAAAATCAAAACAACAACAGGAAAAAGTTCTCACCATAAATATTTTCTCGCAGCTCAACCAGAAGGTTTGCAAAATACTTCCAGAAATCTTCATTTTTGATATTCTATTGCCCTCCTGAAAGGCCTGAAGTTTTGAAAATGCCTCTCTTTTTGTTTTTATAATCTCAAGAATCAAGCAATTATATTTTTCTTTTCTTTTTCTTTTTTTAAAAAAAGGCCCTCAAGTATATACAGACAAAAATCACTGTGAAGATTTTGGGGGGGAGATAACAAATTCAGTGTTGTGAGAAAAATTGGTAACCCATGCAGAAATTTTAACATCTATGAATTTTTTGTTCAAAATACACACATAGTATTTCTCTTCAAAACAAACAAAAAAAAGGAATTCTGTGTCAAGTATAACTCAAAATAAATACAAATTCACAAGTAGAACTACTGAATACTTCATATGGGGTAAACACTGTTATCTCCCGACTAGATCGCTAGATCTACAAACTGCAAGCGATTGTCCCTTTTAACGTACTAGACCACACACTTTCTTGTCCCCTGGGCACCCAGGCCTTCTGAGCACTTAGTTCTCACAGCACCTGGCCTTGACAGCAGTGGCTTTTGCTGACCACAGAGAGCTCCCAAATCCAGCTGGAACAGTGCAGGAGGGGCTGCTCAGGAAGGCTGCCTTGGGCAAGAGAGCCCAGCTCCCATGGTGGCCTGCTCTGCCCAGATGGCAGGGGCATGGCTGCCAGCTGGACAGGCCCACTGACGAGGTCACTTTGGGGTGACGTGCCATCTCTCGTTGGCCCGTGGAAGGCCTTGGCCTTCAGGAATCTGGAGCCCGGGGTCTTTTTAGGGAGTGGCCTTCCCCCAATGCCCATTCCCCAGCAGCTCAGCTGGCAGGGCCCAAGCATTCTGGATCCAAGGCTCCTGTGGAGCCAGGTACCTGGAAGGGTGGGGGCCTGGTTCTCACCACAGAGACAAGCTCAGTGCCCACCACTGTGAACATGATCTTTAGCAGTGCAGGAGGATGAGGGTCACTGACAGCTTCTCCTGCGGGACAGAGAGCCTTGGGCAGGCAGCTGGGGCTCACTTTGACACCGTGCAGAAGGCAAGGGGCAGCTGGGTGGGACTCTCAGTGGCAATGCTGGAGGTGGTGAGGGTGTTCATAGTCAGTTGCCCGCCATTCAGCCTCCATGGGCGGGAGGGAGTGGCTCTCGGGCTCAGGCCAGAGCAAATACACTCTAAGTGCGCAGAGAGCATGGTCCCCCAAAATCTCTGCTGCAGCCTCTTGACTGCAAATACACTCACTCCATCTCTTCTACTCGCTCCCTGGACCCCTGGTTAACACTTCACTGTAACTCCTCGGCCATACAAAACATTATCATTTGAAAACAGAAGGCTACTGGGCACCAATCGGGTGCCCTTGAGCCACGGTAAACACTGAATTTCAGGCCCATTTTGTGGTCTGACTTTTTTTTTCCACAGAGGCATAAAGTTAGGGTAAAATCAAGCGACCCAGTCCTGACAGGTGACTCTTTCCCTCTCCTTGGGAGAAAGGAAGGATGATATAACAATAAAAATAGGGCTTCTCACTGGGGGAGGGGGCAGAGGAGAGCAAGATCCCTCCCGCTATCCAGGCCAGGCTCGCCCTGGCTGGTGTGTCCTGTCAACATGCCTCCTGCAGCCCGGGCAGGTCAGAAACCACTGCACTGTGGCACACACCAGAGGCTCTGCAGCTGGTTCAGGGTGCCCCCTGCGGGGGTGGGTCTGTCTCCTTCATTTTTGCACAGGTTGGGGGGGCAGGGAGTGGCAGGGGAGGACTGGTATCCCTCAGATGGACTTCCTAAGTGACAGGTGACAGGTGTCAAGTCAGAGACCTGATGCCATTCTCCAAGCAAAGCTGTCTGTTTTGAGGCATGGTATTGAGCCAGGCCAAGTCGCAGAACATCAGAACTCAACGGCCTCTTTGCTCTCTACTGTCACTTACTCACTTCACTAGTGGGGAAACTGAGGCCCACAGATGAGCAGTCCTCCCCAGGGGTGTGTAGTGTGTCAGTGGCAGGGCCCACATTTGAACCTAGGTCTCCATACCACCAGGCCCATGTCCTCATGCCAACCTCAATCAAGGGCTGGACCCCAATGTGGGTGAGAGGTGAAAGAGGAGGGGTGAGGGGCTGACAAAAATTCTAGCAACTGGGAAATGTGTGTGGCAGGTGGGAGGTTGTGTCCCTCATGTGTCCCAGGTCATACCTGGGACACTGTCCCTGACCTTTGGGCCTATGGGGGGCAGTATCCAGGTATAATGCCAATGACATCAGAGGCAGCAGGTTTGGGGCTCACAGTGGGCAGGGGGCATAGATAACCACTCCCCCACAGCTGCTAGAGAAGGCGCCAGATTGCCACAATTGCTGACTTAAACAGGACAGAAAAACAGGGTTTTCCCAGAGTGGCTTTGCACGCAGGGCAGACTGGAAGGTTCTGGGTGGGAGAGGGTAGCCTGGCTGGTCTTGGGAAGAAGGTCCCCTGCAGGCTTTGGGATTCACAGTAAATTTAGTGCACTTGTGGCCAATACAAGGCTGCCTGGGGGACACCAAGGGCTCTGTGGGGGTCCTGTGCACTGACCTTTGCTCGTCCCTGTCCCCTCCACACAGACCCCAGGCCCACCTCTGAGTCCTGGACACCTGGCCTTCTGTGGGGCAGCTACATCAGTAACACTGTTTGTCAACACACTTGAGACCAGAACCCAAGATGTCCCCTGCCCAAATCCGCAGGCCCGCAAGGACGCCCCATGCACACAGGGACACGCAGCGATACGAAGACACACAGGGGGATGCCATCTTCTCTGGCAGGTGGGAGGGTGGCCCGGCACGGCAGGCGCGCCCAGGTTATTGCACTCGGCGGCAGTAGTAGCCCAGGACTTTGCACTTCTCACACAGGTGCTGGGGGTGCTCCTTGCTCTGGTCGGACACATCTAGGCCATCAGGCTTTTCCAGGGGTCTCTGCAAAGAAGAAGGAGGAAGAGGGTGGGGAGGGGGGAGCAGGGTACAAGAAGGGTGGGGAGGAAGCCAGAAACAGAGAGAGAAGCAGGGAAAGTGAGGGAGATGCAGAAAGACAGAGAGGAGTAACAAGGTCATCCATGGTCACAGAGGCTGATTCCCAATGTGCCCAGGGCCCTTCCTTCATCTGGCCTGCATGAAGCTCCTGTCCCAAAAGGCACAGGCTCAGACCGTGGGCTGGGACAGTGGGGGAGGGGGATCTTTAACCAGAGCCCCATGTCTAAACACCATTTGACCTCCCTTAGTGCTCCCTGAGGATGCCTTTTCCGGGAGCACTGCAGTTCCTACCCCTTCTCCTCAGCAGGTGGCCCCAGCTGGAACTGGACAGCTTCCTTTGAGTCCCAGAGAATGGAGATCCCAACCCATATGTCCTGCCAGTGCCCAGCATTTCTTCCCTGGCCACTTGTCATCCCCACACCTACCCAGGACTCAGGGTTCGGGGAAGCTGGTGTGAACACAGTCACGGCACTGCAGGCTCAGGCAAGCCAGCCCTTAGATGCATGAGGTCAGCAGCCTGAGTTCTGGTTCAGCCTTCACCCCTGGGGCCTGACACAGTGCCTGCCCTGTTCAGGAAACTGAGGCCCAGAGAAGAGAGGTGTCTGGCCAGATCTATGATGCACTCACTCATGAGTGGCCTCAGAGAGACTAGGTTTCCACATCTGTAATGTGAACCTTTGTCACGCCTTATGATGGGAAGACTTGGGAGATGACCAGATGCCTGTCTACTGAGCGCCGCTGGGCACATCTGAGTACATTCCTACTGTATGGGGCTTCCCTGCTCACTCTCTCCCTCCTGTCCTGGCTCTCAAGAGTCAGCAAAGGTTTGTTTCCCTGGAAAATGTGGGGAGGCTATTAGGCACACCTCCTAAGATGGGCAGTTCCAGGCTGGTGCCTGCAGCCCCAGCCCAGAACCCGTGCCTGTACAAGGGTCCCCCAAACACACTTGGTAGTGGGGGACTCAAAGGAAGTTGGTCAGGGTCAGCTAGGAGGCACAGGCTAGGGTGGGGACAGGAACATGGGGTGCAGGTTGGTGTGGGGCAAAGGAACCTCATTGCCATGACCCAGGATGTCATGAAGGGAGCATGAGGGGGAGCACGCCGCCCCCTCCCCACCCACACACACCAAACTGAACTGCTCAGAACCACACAGTAGCTTTTCTGACCAATTGCATGGTGCCTGGCCCCACGGGGCACTCAGAGCAGTTTGGGGAATGGAGACATCAGAGATTGCTAGAGGGTGACTGGAGGGACCATGGTGGGCAGGGCTCCATCCAGGGCTCCCGGAGCCTATCCCTTTGCCTCCAGGCTGAAAGCCACACTAGGGAGAGCAGGGAAAAGGACTGGGGTTTTCTATGACCCGTTTTCCTGGCTAGGGGAGAGAGGCCAAGAGTTTGACCAAATGCCAGACCTGGTTTTGAACACCAGCTCTGCTACCTATGGGCTGTGTCACCTTGGGCAAGTCACCCAACCTCGCAGCCTTCATTCCCCTTTCTACAAAAGGGGATCTTGATTATATTCTCTCAAGAGATTATTATAACCACCCAACAAAAAGGAAGAGCATGATATATAGTAGTTATTAATGGGTCACTAATTATTATTATTATTATTATTATTATTATTATTATTATTATTAGGAGGGGGATGCCAGCTGAGAGAGAGTCACCCAAAGGTGAAGCTAGGATCCCAAGCTGAAAGGGCCTAGGAAGGTAACATCACCTGCTCTCCCAAACATCCCCAGGAGCACCTGCAGCATCCCGAGGGCTTGGGATGCTTGCTTGCAGGCTCCTAGGGGTGGAAGTGCCCTGCTGGCTGAACTCCAGGCTTAGTTCCTAGGCTATGTAAGAAGGACTTCCTCATCTAGAATTGAAATCTGGGTCCCTGTGCCCTCCTCCTAGTGCTCGCAGGCACATGGGCCACACAGATTGTCTGCTCAGTTTCCACAGGACTGCCTGATGTAGGTGCTCCTAAGGTCTCCCCTATCCCAGACCAAGCATAGCCCCCCACTCTTCATGCTGGCCAGGACCCCCTCCCTGAACTGGTCTTCAGGTGGCCACAGTGAGCAGCCTGATCCCACCCTGTCCCCCACAGTTTACATTTTGTAAAGTGTAGCCCCATAAGTCATACCACCTAACCTCACAAACTTCCTGTGAAGGGTGTATTACTATCTGCCTGACAAACAAGAAAAACTGCCTGAGGCGCCAAGACATTAAGGGTCCTGCCTAGAGGCCTATAACTTGATTTATCTGCAAGGGCTATTGGGCAAGACCTTTCTCCTCTAGAAGCTCAGCTTGCCCTTCTGTAACCCAGGCAGGAGGTTAACAACATTGGCTGAGAAGTAAATGAGATGACTCTTTCTACATAAAGTATTTTATAACCATAAGAGCTCTATAAGAGTTATAACTGCTGTGTGACTTTTAGCAAGTCACTTAACCTCTCTGTGCCTTGACTGTCTCCTCTACAACATGAGACTAATAACAGAAACTACTTGATAAGGTTGTTGTGAAAAGTAGATAAGTTAATATATGCAAAGTTATTAAGACAGTGCCTGGAACACACAAAAAAGCAATGTTGGCTGGTGTTAATATCATGTATTATTACTGTTATTATTTTGTAGGGCTGGGAACAGGCTGGGAGTGAGGAAACCATCTGCAAACACTCCTGCAGCATCCTTGCCATCCTTCCCTGCCGGCAGCTCATCTGTGCGCTGCGCCTTCCTTGGCTGTGACCTTATCAGTGCCCCCTTCCCTCTATGGGTCCTGGCTCAGCTCTGCCCAGACACTGGGGCCAGGGGGGTGAAGGGAGCTGGGAGAAATGTCAAGCGGCTCCCCTCTGTAAAGGGAAAATATTCAGCAGCTGGGATTGATCACCCCAGGGCCCTTCCCACCCCACCCCCTCAACAGTGAGGCAAAGCCCATCAGTGTTTTCTTCTCCTGGGGGGCAGGGCCGGCAGGGGGGAGCCGCAGCTGGAGCCTGACAGGAAACAGATGTGGTAGAGGAGGGAGGGAGGAGGGGAAAATGGGAGGCTCTCAGGAGATGGATGGCGCACGGGTCAGAGCTCAGGGGGCAAGAGAAATGAACCAGCCCCTCTCCACTGTATGTGTGCATGGGGGGTGCCACAGGGGGATGAGGGCTCCTAGCCCCTCCTCTCAGCTCTTCAAAGGGCCCTGACTGCTGTGCAGAGGAGTAGAGGCACCTCACCTCCTGTCCCACCCAGCTTGCAACTTCTCTGGGGAAGAGCCACAGAGAAAAGCACATGCACCCCTAACAGGAGGCTGGGGGCTGGGTGGTGGGAAGCCCCTGTGACACTGGTTTGTTGAGTGATCTTGCTCAAGCCTTATCTCCTCCCTGGGCTTCTCTCCCTGCTGCACACAGTAGGTGCTCAAAAAGCTAGGGTTGAATGGCTGGGGAGAGGAAGAACAGAGACAGGTACCCATGGAAGATCCTTCTGGATTGGACCTCAGAGAATCTGCTTCTGACTGTGGAGATGGGTAAGCAGGAGTCAGGGAGGCTGTTCTTGGGTTGAGCTTTGCAGGATGGAGATGAGGCAGGTAGGGCTGGAGCTGGTCTGGGGGTAGCGATACAGGCAGGAATGGGCCTGGCATTGTAGAAGGATCACAGGGAGGGGCCCTGTCCTGCCAGATGCCAGAGCAATAGAGGGGCAGGGGTTAAGGAGGCTGGAGCCACTGTGGAGTTGGGTCTGGATCTTAGTGCATGGGGAGGGCCCTGCTTCTCTGATCACAGAGGTATGAGAGCTCTGAACACTGAATCCCCCAGGCCCTCGCCCCTCCTCCCCTCCAGACCACTCATCTGCACGCCTCCAGGCTGCACCTGGCCCTCTGCCCCACTCCTGATCCTGCTCATGAATATGTTTCTCTACTGACCTAGGGTCAGTTATACCCTTGCCTAAGTTTCCTCCTCTGCAAAATGGACAGACAATTATGCTGACCTCATGGGTGGCTAAGAGAACGACAGACATGAGGTACTTAAGGGTGCCCAGCCATCGACACTGCTGTTCTAATTTCTCCAATTCCTGTCCACTGAGACCCGCCAGCTCAGCGGCAGCAGCGGCAGGAGACAACCTGAGGGCTGCCTTGCCTCAGAGGAGCCCTCCCAACAGTCTGACAGCCTGTCTTCAAGCAGCAGCAATTCAATTCCAAGGAACCACTTCCACCTGGGAACCTTGCAAAGGTCCCATGGCTTCTCAGGCCTGTGCTTTCCTTCTGTGGGATGGGGAGAATGGACCCCCGTATGAGGGCACAGCACACAAGAAGGGTGTGCCGGGGCTCAATAAACAGCACCCAGAGGGTGGTCACCCCTGCGATTGTGGCCAAGCTGCCCTCCTCCCTAATGACCACCTCCATCCACTAAAGCGCTCAAGCCCAAAGTGTGGTTCTGGATTCCTGCCCCTTCTTCACCTTCCACATCCAATCCAGCTGCACTTTGTGTCACATCTAGTCCAGGGCCACCGGCTCAGTTCACATGGGTCTATGGCCACGGCCTTCCAGTGCACGCTCCACATTCAATCTCTACATTCAAACGGAGTAACTTTCTCAAAATGAAACGGGAAGTCCTTTGGTCCAGGGTTTCCTTATGAATCACCTAGGGCTCTGGTGAACACCCCATTTAGCTCCTTGCTCCTTCACGAGCTTTGGAGCCTTGGGCAAAACAAATTCTTATGACCCCAGGGCATTTGCACCTGTGGTACCCTCTTCCTAGAATAGCCATCTGCCCACCTGTTATAGGGGAGGCTTCCTCCCTGCTTCAGAGCCCAGGGAAAATACTGCCCCCTCTTTGCAGCCTCCAGTAAGTATATCCTCTCTACGAAGAGCTACCTCAACCTCTCCCCCTTGGCCACTAGTCACAAACACAAGAATTGGGGTCCGACACATGGCAGTGACCCTGTGTCATGAGTCAGCGGCACAAATACAGCATCCTGCTGCCCTCACGTCCCTCAGTCTCACAACAGCACCCTCAGTTCATGAGTTTGAAAATTCGCCTGGCAATTGTGGTCTCGGGGTCTCGGGACAGTGGTCTCTTTATCTTCCTCCCCTTCCTGAGAAAACAGGCTTTCTCACCCCCATTTCAGAACATGCAAGGAAAGAAAGAGCCAACCTGTAGAGAGGTGACCTCCCTGGGACCCAATAAGGAGGAAAGTCACCCTCTTGGGACCCTTCAAAGACGCTCCCCCCTCTCTAGCTGCACTCCCCATCCTAGCCCCATGCTCCTCCCCTGAGCCCCACTCTGGTGGCGCCAGCCCTGCCAGGCTCACCTGCTTGTGCGGGTACACGTTGATGTGGCACTTAATGCACTCCTGCCCCATGTTGGCCCAGGAGTTCCCGCTCATCCATTTTCTCTTGCACTTGGGACATTTGTACTCTCCGAAGCAGCGCTTTTTGCCCTGGTATGGAGTCAGACCCTCACCTTTGGGACGTGCCTAGAAGGACAGAAGCAAACACAAGAATTGGGGTCCATCAGGTGAAAATCATGCTCCCGTGGCGTTCCCTGGTCTTCCCCTTCAGTCTTCAAACCCTGTGTCCCAATTGCAGGCCCCTTTTGTTCCCAATCCAGAGAAGACCCAGGAATTCCGAGGCTGGGAGACCCGCAAGGGGGACAGAGAACACAGGAGACAGTGGATGGTGCGCATTGTTTTTAGATTCAGGGGAGCAAAGTATAGAGTCTAGGAATTGCTTCTTTAACTCAGACAGCATAAAGAGGGGGTGGCCAGAGAGGGTGTTGGAAATGGTTACTGAAGAGGCGACACAGGCACAGAATACATCCAGGTATGTAGGGAAAGCCCGTCTCCCCTCACCCCTGCTCCCAGCCACCTGCTCCCCTACTTGGCGGCAATCTTCATTTCCTTTAGACCACTGCAAAGACAGGCTCTGCATTTACCAACTCTAACACACACATATGGACATACGCTTTTCTTTTCCACTCATATGGAAACAGGTTATGCATTTGGTTCTCATTCTTACTTATAATATAATTTAGACATATTACAATTACATAATATATATAAAACATACTTTATATGTATATGTATAAAACCACGCTCCCCCCATCATAAGTCAGCTGGAAAAATAAAACAGTACTGTATTCGGTAGAACAGTTGCAAAGTAGTAAATCTATGCAAGTTTCATAACATGTTTACCAGTTACCATTACAGAAAATCCAGTTTATTTCCACACTTCTACTAATATAAGCAATGCTGCAATGAATAACACACACACACATACACATAAAATTCTGCATATGTCAGCGTACATTGTGGAATAAATTCCTAGAAAATCCTTGGGTTAATGGGTAGGTCCACTTTTAACTTTTAAAGACAATGACAAATTGCCACTGCCTCTTGCAAGTGTACCGGCTTAATGGCTCATGTCCTCAACAACAAAGTTTTCATCACTGCCAATCTGAGAGGTAGAAAATCTTAGAGAGTAGCCTTGTACTATAAGCAAGAGAGAATTTCCCCAGGCATTTAAGAACCATTTGTAATTCCTTTGTGAACTGTTATAGTTCACATCTTTCATGATTTTTTTTCTTCTGCTGGGGTTTGTTATTTTCCTGATGATTTGCAACAGCACTCTAGATATTAAATAAATTAGCTCTCTCCTGCATGGTATTTTCTCAATAGCTTTATTGAGCTATGACTCATATACTTTGCATTCCCCCCAAACTGTACCATTTAAGGTGTGCAGCTCAAAGGTTTTTAGTATATTCAGTTATACAACCATCACTACAATCTAATTTTAGACCATTTTTGTCACCCTCATTTTTGACCCAAAAAGTTACTTCCCATCCTACCCATACCTCCCCACCCCACCTACTTCCTGTCTCTATAGATTGCTCTATCTGGAACTTTCATATAAGTGGATCCTATAGTAGGTGTCCTTGTGTCTGGCTTCCTTCACTTAGTGTAATATTTTTTTTTTTTTTATAGAGGCATGTTTATTTATTTATTTATCTGTTTGTTTGTTTGTTTTTGTTTATACATGCACTGGGTACAGTCAGAAGCGCGGGAGGGTGAGAGAATTCACCAGAGCCAGAGCGGGGAGCAGAGCAGGCAGAAGGACCGAAGTACACTGCTGAGGGGAGCAGCGGGCGGCAGGAGAGGTCTGTGCGCCATGCGGGACCCTCCTCCGGTGGCCGGGGAGCAGCTGGGGATCGAACCGGCGCCGCAGAGGCCGCGGGCAGGTTCGCAACCCAGCGCTCAACCGCTGCGCCACCGGGGAGGCCCTAGTGTAATATTTTTAAGGTTCGCCCATATTCTAGCATGTGATCCTAGCTCTGTAATCTTGGGCAAGTTACTTCACAAAGATAATGATAGTAACTACCAAACAGGACTGTTGTGAGAATTCAATGAAATAGTATGTGTAGGAAGAGCCTGGCCATAAAAGTGAAGCAGACATATGAGTTACTATTATCATCTGTTAATATTATAATAATAGTGGCATACAAACTATTCATTTCTACCCTTAACAATCATATCTTTTTCCCCCAGGAGCCATTATCATGCTTCAGTGACAGCCTACTTGAATTTCACTGTGTAAATATAGTTAGAAAGAGGGGCCCCCATCAACACCAACACCCTGATCTCTTGGGCCTGCTAACAATGTTTTTGGGGTCTTTACTGGCTTTCCTGACTGTGATACCCTGGGGAGAGCTCAGTACTGGCTCTTAGCACTGGTCAGGCTATGGGAGAGACTAATTATGTCAAGAGGAGCACTCAGCCTGTAGTCAGGGCCAAGGCCCGATTTATTTGCAGTAGAGGGTCAACTTATGCCTCTGAAGCCACTCTGAGCTCTGTTGGTCTCAAGTTAGAGTATACATCCAGCCCCTTCTGGTGAGCACACTTGGCTCACTTATTCTGTCTGTCTTTTCTGGTGCCTGGTACTCACAGCTTCTAAGCAAGTCCAGCTTCCATGGCCTCGTTTCATCAGCAATCCTGAAAGAACTAGATGGACTTGTTCCCTGTGTCCCCTTCTTCACAGCATCCACATTGTAAAAAGGGAATAAACACAGGGCACCTAACTGGTAGGAGGATTTGAGACTCCTGGGTGGAAGGGAGACGTCTGGAGGCCCCCGCCAGCCAGGCTCAGCATGGGATGTGGTTCTGCGGGCCTCTAGGGTCAGCACCTGGCGCCTAGTGTCACGCAGCTGGGGCAAAGGGCAGGGGTCAGGCTGGCACCCAGGAGCACTCAGCAGAGAGAAGGGTGAGGACTTGGGCAGGACTGACAACTTGCTTCCCAAAGAATCTCTGGTTCAGAAGCGAACAGGGTGGACAAATAAAAGACAGAGTGTAGAGCAAAGAGAGAAGGTGGAAGATGCGAGAGAGGAGCAAGGTGTTGCGCCTGGAAGATGATTTAACTAGAAAACCACCCATTCTGGAGCCCTCCTTCAGGAAGTGTAAACCACTGAGCCCTGGGCAGGGGCTCTGGCCTCTTGCAGGTCCTGATGTCACAGTCCTACCTGGAGGGCCCAGTTTTGACACCTAGTGTGTGTCAAAAGCTATATCAGTGGACTTCAGGGTCAGAGAGCTGTGATCATATTCTGCCTGACTCTGGGGGACCCACAGCAAGTTTCTCAATCTCCCTGAGCCTTGATTCCTCTCCAGACACCCGGGGTGATGATAAGAAGCCTGCCTCCCAGGACTGCTAGAAGGATTTTGATGCCTTCATGCAGATGAAGGTCTTTGCTGGGTGGCTGGACATCACAAATGCTCAATAATCGTTACCGATTTGGGGAAGAATCTCTCCCTGGGGTAATAGAGGGAGAGAGAGCAGGTGTGCTTTAGTGATGACAGAGGGCTGGCAAGTCATCTTGAAGGAGTCAAAGGGTTTCAGCATGAGGAACAGGCCCAGCAGACTTCCACAGGCCCAGCAGACTTCCACAAGGGCACACTTGGCTCACTTGTTCTGTCACTCCAAGTGTGGCCCCACTGTGAGTGCTAAATGCTCAGGAGGAGAAATCCTCCAACCCCCAGGGCCTCCAGCTCAACCCAGCCAAACCCAGGGTCAGGCCTTGGCGTTGCCCTTTTTCAGGTCAGAGGGGAGAAATGGCCTACAGAGCTGTGGTGAAGAGGTCATGGATGGATGGGAGGACAAGCCGGGGGGAGCTCTCAGCAAGGAGTCACTTCCTGGAAGGGCTAAGGCCCCATATTGTTTATGCTCACAGAAAAGGGCAGGGCCAAAGAGTAGGAATTTTTGATGGAACAAAGGCTTCTCTACCCTCCGCACGTTCCCCAGCCGCCTTCCAGAAAGGCACGGCCTCTTCTCATAAACTTCAGCATGAGACAGACGGGGACTGCTCAAGGCTCCCTGCCGGCTGGGAAGGACGCCAGGCCTGACCGGGCTCTCCTGACCCTGGCCCCTGCCACGTACCCCTCTGGGGAATCACATCTGCCAGGAGCTGGGGCAAAGCTGCATGGGACTCAGAAACCACCTCTGGTAGCACAGACAGGCCCTCTGGGAACCAAAGCAGCAAAGGGATTTGCTCAAAGGCACACAGCAAACCAGGGACTGAGCTGGGAGGAGGCGATGGGTCCTCTGACCTCCAGACCAGGGCAGCCTCAAGTGGCAGGTCATGGCTGGTGTGGGAGTGGGAAGGAGGCCTTGTGTCAAGGAGCAGAGAGGGCAAAGTTGGGAGGAGCCAGCCAGAGAAGCCAGCAGCTTGGGAAGAGAGGCAGATGATGCTGACATGATTTGGGCACTTCTTCAGAATGGTTTAGAGAGACTTCCGAACAGTTTGTGAGATTTATTGTGACTGACTGGGAGGTGGTGAGCTCCCTGTCACTGGAGGTATGTCAGCAGAGGTGAGCTGAGCAGCTATCAGAGATGCTGTTGAGGGGAACTTCTGCCCTGTCAGGCAGTTGGACCAGGTAGCTCTGAGGGCACCTACGACTCCATAGTCCTTCCAACTCGGGTTCCAGGTGAAGGCCAAGCAGGCAGGCAGGTGTGGAGACCCAGACTCTCAGATGCTACTGGGGGTGGGGGGGGGTCTGAATTGGTAGATTCCCTACTGTCTTTTTTTTAAAGATTTATTTATTTATATAAGAACACGGGTATAGCCCAGATGCACAGGAGGGTGAGAGAATTCACCATAGACAGAGCGGGGAACAGAACAGGCAGACTGACGAAATGCACTGCTGAGGGGAGCAGCGGGCGAGACAGGAGAGGTCTGCCGCGCCATGTGGGACTCTTGCTGGCCGGCCGGGATTGAACCAGCGCTGCAGAGACTGTGGACAGCTTCACAGTGCTCAACTGCCTGCACCACCAGGGGAGGCCCCCTACTGTCTTTCTATAAAGCAACCTGACAGTAAGCCTTCATACATTTAAAAAGACCCATTCCCTCCCCTCTAGAAAATCTATTCCTGGGTGCCTGTCCCAAGGAAATTATCAGAGATGTAGATGAAGGAGGTGCTTGTGGCACAGATTA